GGCCCGCATGCGCAAAAGAAGATGTCACACACAACGCGCTCTGTTTAGACCCAGAGCAAACAGTATTGTTTGACTGATGGCCCTTAATATAAAGACTTCGGACTTTACGTTTCCCAATTTTTGCTTTAAGTTTTTTTCTTATTTACATAATAATGTAGATAACTTAATAATGATCCTTATTGCTGTTTTAGAGAGGAGCGGTGCTTCAAAGGATAGTTGCAGATTTCTGTCAGAATCTGCAGATTATACAGTACAAATAAAATGTTCACGTTTTCTTCCCAACAGTTTCACTAACATCTACACTGGATGGCCAGGAAGCGTTCACAATGTCTTCTCGGGCGCTTCTCCGGCGCTGATAATTGGCGTCTGTCTTGTGTCAGTGACGTAAAAGACAGATTCAATGCGACATGACCGTTCAAACAGCAGTCGCTTTCTAAAACATCGGATATGTATCGGATTCAGTACCACATACGAAAGTGACCCAGATCGGATTTGAAAATATTGGATTTGTGCTGTTCACACTGTCATACCATGATCAGATATGGGTCACATAGGGTCAAAAAAATTGGATTTGATGCGCTTTCGCCTGCAGTGTGAACGTAGCTATATTGTTCACCTGCCACTGAGAGTACACCTTAGCTGGTTCTGTGGAGAACAGCTGGTTTATTCTCCTACCTTCGATCTCTCTAGTGTACCTCTTCAAGCGGCTGGCCAAGGCTGTGAGTTGTTTCCAAGGCCTCAGGTATGGACAGCTTGCTGTACTTCTTAGGCACCTTCTTTGTCTCACCTTTCTGCAGCTCTGATAGTTGGCTAACCTTCCGCCGTACATATATATATATATATACATATATATATGTGTATATATATATATATATATTAGGGGTGCAACGATATTCGTATCGATATTGAACCGTTCGATACAGTGCTTTCGGTTCGGTACGCATATGTATCGAACAATACAACATTTGTAATTTATTTTATCAACTTTCCTTCTGACGATGCTGTCTGTGTTGAGCGCTCAGTGAATCTGTGTTCGACTACTCCGCCTAGGCTGCACTGTCGAGCGCAGATCCACTGAGCGCTCAACACAGACAGCATAGTCAGAAGGAAGAGCGCAGGGCAAGCTAGCGAGACAGAAGTTAAGCTCTCCTTGCAACAGGCATTGAACCTCATTCAGATCTGGCGTTTGGAATTATTTTGGTTTTCATGTGACGTATGACCCTGAAGGTAAGCGAGTCATGGACTAAAGTAAAACAGTATGTTGGATGTGCCATGCAATGCTCAATTACATTGGTGTGAACTAGTGTGTTAGAGCAGTTAGCTCGTTAACGTGTTGGCCGTCTAGCCCCATGCACGGAGCGATCGGCGGTAGCTCGTTAACGGAGATTTGCCGTGTTGTGGCGTTAAGGTCATTTCAACATTTAACCTGAAAGCACTAGTGGGAACACAACGAATATGACTGCACATTTACGCCGACATCATCCTAGTGCAAAGACAAAAACAACAAGCATGCTACTAACTTTAGCCGAGTCATTTAGACAGCTGTTAGCACATGATTTTGCATTCTTTCAGAAATGTAGCTGGGTAATTATGTCATTGGCATCGGTGAGCCACTGTCAATATGTGACATATTGAAGTCGTGTTTGAATTTGCGCTTGTTTTTTTGCTTTCACTTTGCAATCGTGCGAACTGTGTATAGAGAGCGACAGCACTGATCTGTGAGTGATGATAATTTGTGCACCAATTCCTCTGACATCGTCTTATTAATCGTTAGCTTACTATGCAAACATGACAAGTGAAATCTCCCGCAGCAAGCTTAAACATGTGAGAGGTTGATCGCGCAGAGAATCGCTGAGCTTATGTGAGTGCGTGTGTAAAAGCATTTCAGTTCTGCTGAGCCAAATAAGACAGGTCGGGGTGAAGAAGTGACAGCCAAAGAAAAGCTTACCACAAAACGGAGAAGTTATGACAAATCAGACTATAAGGCAAAAAGAAAGTGCAGCTTTGTGGTTTCATGGACAACAGAATTTCTGTGGCTGCAATATGATGAGCTAAATAACCAGGGCTGCACATAAGTGGTCCGCAGGTGCGCATTCGCTGTCAAAATAAAAAACACGCACAAGGGTTAGGGTTAAATTTAAAAACTGTACTTTTGAGTTAAAATATATATTTATAATTTTAATAAATGACAAATTAAAAAGGCATGAACATTTTTTTTTATCGAAAAAATATCGAACCGTGACACCAAAGTATCGAACCGAACCAAACCGTGAATTTTGTGTATCGTTGCACCCCTAATATATATATATAAAACACCCAGCACGCCCCTGCGGGCGGTTTATCCTTCAAGCTCGGGTCCTCTACCAGAGGCCTGGGAGCTTGAGGGTCCTGCGCAGTATCTTAGCTGTTCCCAGGACTGCGCTCTTCTGGACAGAGATCTCCGATGTTATTCCCGGGATCTGCTGGAGCCACTCGCCTAGCTTGGGAGTCACCGCACCTAGTGCTCCAATTACCACGGGGACCACCGTTACCTTCACCCTCCACATCATCTCGAGCTCTTCTCTGAGCCCTTGGTATTTCTCCAGCTTCTCGTGTTCCTTCTTCCTGATATTGCTGTCATTCGGAACCGCTACATCGATCACTACGACCGTCTTCTTCTGTTTGTCTACCACCACTATGTCCGGTTGGTTAGCCACCACCATTTTATCCGTCTGTATCTGGAAGTCCCACAGGATCTTAGCTCGGTCATTCTCCACCACCCTTGGGGGCATCTCCCATTTTGACCTCGGGACTTCCAGATTATACTCGGCACAGATGTTCCTGTACACTATGCCGGCCACTTGGTTATGGCGTTCCATGTATGCCTTGCCTGCTAGCATCTTGCACCCTGCTGTTATGTGCTGGATTGTCTCTGGGGCATCTTTACACAGCCTGCACCTGGGGTCTTGCCTGGTGTGATAGACCCCAGCCTCTATGGATCTTGTGCTCAGAGCTTGTTCCTGTGCTGCCATGATTAGTGCCTCTGTCCAGCTTTGTCCAGCCACTGGTAGGATTTCTGGATATCAGCCACCTCCTCTATCTGCCGGTGGTACATACCGTGCAGGGGCCTGTCCTTCCATGATGGTTCCTCGTCTCCCTCCTCTTTCTTGGGTTTCTGCTGCCTGAGGTATTCACTGAGCACTCGGTCAGTTGGGGCCATCTTCCCAATGTATTCTTGGATGTTCGTTGTCTCATCCTGGACTGTGGTGCTGACACTCACCAGTCCCCGGCCCCCTTCCTTGCGCTTAGCGTACAGCCTCAGGGTGCTGGACTTGGGGTGAAACCCTCCATGCATGGTAAGGAGCTTTCTTGTCTTTATGTCAGTGGCTTCTATCTCCTCCTTTGGCCAGCCTATTACCCCAGCAGGGTACCTGATCACGGGCAGGGCGTACGTGTTGATGGCCCGGATCTTGTTCTTACCATTCAGCTGACTCCTCAGGACTTGCCTGACCCTCTGCAGGTACTTGGTGGTTGCAGCTTTTCTAGCGGCCTCTTCATGGTTCCCATTCACCTGCGGGATCCCCAGGTACTTGTAGCTGTCCTCTATGTCTGTAATGTTGCCTTCTGGTAGTTCAATCCCCTCACTTCTGACTAACTTCCGTCTCTTTGTTACCATCCGACTACACTTCTCCAGTCCGAATGACATTCCAATGTCATTGCTGTATAGCCTGGTAGTGTGGATCAGTGAATTGATGTCTCGTTCACTCTTGGCATACAGCTTGATGTCATCCATGTACAGGAGGTGGCTGACAACTGCTCCGTTCCGTAGTCGGTATCCGTAGCCAGCCTTGTTAATGATCTCACTGAGGGGGTTCAGGCCTATGCAGAACAGCAGTGGGGACAGAGCATCTCCTTGGTAGATCCCGCACTTGATGGTGACTTGTGCTATGGGCTTGGAGTTGGCCTCTAGTGTTGTACGCCACATCCCCATTGAGTTCCTGATGAAGGCTCTTAGGGTCCCATTGATCTTGTACAATTCTAAGCATTCCAGTATCCAGCTGTGGGGCATTGAGTCATAGGCCTTCTTGTAATCAATCCAGGCAGTGCACAGGTTGGTCAGTCTGGTCTTGCAGTCTCGGCTGACTGTTCTGTCTACCAGTAGCTGGTGTTTTGCGCCTCTGGTATTCTTGCCAATCCCTTTCTGTGTCCCGCTCATGTATTGACCCATGTGCCTGTTCATCTTATCCAATATGATGCCTGACAGGAGCTTCCATGTAGTACTGAGGCAGGTTATTGGTCGGTAGTTGGAGGGGACCGGTCCCTTCTTGGGGTCCTTGGGGATCAGGACCGTCCGACCTTCGGTTAGCCATTCCGGGTGTCTCTCGTTAACTAGCAGCTGGTTCATTTGTGCTGCCAGACGCTCGTGGAGTGCAGTCAGCTTCTTTAGTCAGTAGGCGTGAACTCCACCAACTCTTCATACTGGAGACCCTTTCTTGGATATCTGCCACTGTGACGGTTACTGGACCCTGTTCAGGGAGGTCGCTGTGGTCTGCCCTCAGATCCACTAGCCACTGAGCATTGCCGTTATGGGTTGCGTCCTTCTCCCATATGCTCTTCCAGTATTGCTCCATCTCCAGCCTTGGTGGTGCTGTTCTCTTATTATTATTGTTCCCTTGCCACTGAGAGTACACCTTTGCTGTATATATATATATATATATATATATATATATATATATATATATATATATATATATATATATATATATATATGTATGTATATGTGTGTGTGTGTATATGTATATATGCACATTCAATTCAATTTTGTTATCTACAAATTTGTAGATATGATTTTCTCAAGTCAGACATTTGAGTTTGATTAGTTGGCATGATTTATATGTCAAGCGTTGAAATAAAAAGATTCCTTAATATATAGAGAACCCTAAAAACCTTTCAATTTTCTCTCCTTTCTTGTCTCTATTTCTCTTTTCTGTGCCTCACTCCTTTTTACTTTTGTTATAAAGGTGATGCTGAACAGTCCTAAACGGATCGAAGAGGAGAAAGCCAAAATGGCCACAAAAGAAAAAGCTTTGAAGGAGAAAGAAGGAAAGAAGCCTTTAACTAAACCTAACAACACCATCAATGGCACTGGTGGAACACCAATGCACGTCAACACTCTGCAGGTGATCACAACTTGGGTAACTGACTTCTAAAATCTGTAACTATAGTGTATTTTACATTGTTTGTCATAAGTGCACATCTATCCTTAAAAATCAATACAAGAAAAAAAGAAAATTTTTGAGTCTAATAAAGAAAAATATGTGCAGGTCAATACTTAAATTGTCTAATGCATATAAAGGAAATGGCAGGTCAAGATCACCTCAGGCTTCATGCATGCAGCAGTGAGTGAAAAGAATACTAAAAGTATGGATGTGCACAAAAAGCAAAAAATGATCCAGGAATTTTTTTGATTTATAAAGCAATACATGAGCATATATATATATATAGATATATATATATATATATATATATATATATATATATATATATATATATATAGCAATTAGACATCATAGGATAACTGGATATACCACACTAATGAGAATGCATGGTTACTTTGTAACCCTGGGATTCAGAGTAAAAGACTACAGTGGCTTGCAAAAGTATTCGGCCCCCTTGAACTTCTCCACATTTTGTCACATTACAGCCACAAATATGAATCAATTTTACTGGAATTCCACATGAAAGACCAACACAAAGTGGTGCACACGTGAGAAGTGGAAGATTTTTTACAAATAAATAACTGAAAAGTGGGGTGTGCGTAATTATTCAGCCCCCTTTGGTCTGAGTGCAGACAGTTGCCCATAGACATTGCCTGATGAGTGCTAATGACTAAATAGAGTGCACCTCTGTGTAATCTACTGTCAGTACAAATACAGCTGCTCTGTGACAGCCTCAGAGGTTGTCTAAGAAAATACTGGGAGCAACAACACTATGAAGTCCAAAGAACACACCAGACGGGTCAGGGATAAAGTTATTGAGAAATTTAAAGCAGGCTTAGGCTACAAAAAGATTTCCGAAGACTTGAACATCCCACGGAGCACTGTTCAAGCGATCATTCAGAAATGGAAGGAGTATGGCACAACTGTAAACCTACCAAGACAAGGCCATCCACCTAAACTCACAGGCCGAACAAGGAGAGGGCTGATCAGAAATGCAGCCAAGAGGCCCATGGTGACTCTAGATGAGCTGCAGAGATCTACAGCTCAGGTGGGGGAATCTGTCCATAGGACAACTATTAGTCGTGCACTGCACAAAGTTGGCCTTTATTGAAGACTGGCAAGAACAAAGCCATTGTTAACAGAAAACCATAAGAAGTCCCATTTGCAGTTTGCCACAAGTCATGTGGAGGACACAGCAAACATGTGGAAGAAGGTGCTCTGGTCAGATGAGACCAAAATGGAACTTTTTGGCTAAAATGCAAAACGCTATGTGTGGCGGAAAACTAACACTGCACATCACTCTGAACGCATCATCCCCAGAGCACACCCTTGGCTAGGCAAGGGTCTGCCCAAGACCCCACGTTAAGCAAACAAGAGCTTTTCCATCTTCCTAATTGTCTGAATGCACCTGCTATACACTGTGAAGACCCAGGGAGCAGCCTAGCATAGAGCTACGTTATGGTCCGACCCAAGAGGGAAGTAACCACAGCCCGAGCTAAATGGGAATAGGCTAAAGCCCACCAAGAACCAGGTTCCATGGGGGAACTGGGCATCCAGGTCTACAAGTTGAAAGTCACTGGGAACCGCTAAGAAACGTCAAGATTAGGATGGAGTCAGTCCCATAAGTGCTGGGGGACCAATACGAACTGCCTTGATTGCTGCCACCACACCTCCCATTGTAACTGTAACTGCAGACTTGCCCACATCCAGCTGGGATTGCAGGAACCGCAGAGTGGTGTAAAATATGGCCTCGTGGGGGTCCAACTGGTGGACGGCACACCAGGAGGCAACAGTCTTCAGTAGTAGGAGTAGGCAGCTCTAGTGGATGGTGCACAAAACTCCTGCAGAGTTTGCACCACTGGCTCAGGCAGCCCTAGGGCACAGAGCCTCTCTCTCTAAAGGGTCGGGCCATCTGCCTGAGCCCTGCAGGGAAGAGATGGATGGTCCTGCTCTTATGAGACTGGAGGTCCTTTTGGACAGGAAGCACCCATGCGGTCCAGTTCAGGAGCGGTGGGATTGCTGAAAACCATGGCATGTGAGGCCAAGAGGAGCCACCAGGATCCACTTCCTCTCTTCATTCTGGACCTTTTTTCTGATATTTTTCTGAGTACATAAACCACTGACCGCAGACAATACCCCAGTAAGGTCCCCAATGCCACAGCAAGGTTTCACTGAGCGTGTCATGACCCCTTGACCAATGTGCCAATAAGCCTGGATGCCCTCCCAATATTGTGGCCCAACTCGGTTCTCTGGGAACTAGCTACTGGCTAAATACAAGACAAGTTGTATTTATCAGGGGAGAAGCACAGTCTCCAGTCAACGGCTCCCCTGGAGCTAGGGCTAGAGAGGAGCTGCTAAGAGGCTAATCTGAAATAAGCCACAATCAGGGGGAGGTAGAGACACCTACCTAGGCCCTGCTCCCCCCTCACACGTGAGGCAGCCACTTTCCCAACTGCCCTAGGCATATCAGAAAGTGGAGGGCCAGTGCACTTTTCCCCAAAAAACAAGAATGGGTCTCTCCAGTTTATGCAGGCAAGACAGAACAGTCTATGAATGACTGAGGACTTTCTCTGGCCAGCATAGCATGCTTGCTTATCGCTTAAAGGCAGCACATAATAGCAGAAATAGCACTTAATGTCTAACTTCACGGCACCATGAGGAATACACTGAGCTCTCTCTGCAGCCTGGAGACAAAACTCTCACTTGCTGGTCTGACAGTTTCAGACCTGAACCCGTGAGACCACAGGAAATACGCCAGAAGGATTACAGCAGGACACAGCGACACTGAGTGGGCAACTCATTAGACTGCGATAAATAGACTAGAGATAACTTCAGTCCAGCACTTGACCAGTATGCATTGCCAATTTCCATTTTGAAAATGTTCCTTTTGATGGATCAGATTTTCTGTAGTAGTGCACAAATTCTCCTCTTAAGTTTGTTGTAATAAATCCCAACTTACTTGGGAAGTGGTATATGCCTCTTCAGGTCTGGTTTTCTATGTCTATGTTTATTCATGAGACCCCTGGTCTTATTTCTCGAACGCTGTTTTTGAAAACTGTTTTCACACATGAATTATGGACACCTGGAGGAGAATCTGGACATGAACATTGTCTTAAGCCAAGTTTTGTCACTTGCTGCATATGCGTAACAGAGCATTCTATGCATTTAATGCATTCTCACTACTGCAAACGTTCTATTTGGTTTTAATAAAAGGTGGTGATTGCTCTATTTTCGCATTAGCTCATTCAGATATTATATGGACTCTATATATGGGAATTGATTAATTGTTGTCTAAGCCAACCAATTTGATTCTCATTCAAATGTTTAGAAAAGTTAAAGACTGTGCTACATGTGTGAAAATAGCTGAAAGGCTCCATGTAACACCCTAGAGGGAAATTTCATTTCAAATCATCAAATTTTTAGAACATTTTAATTCATTAATTCAAACAATGCCAGAGATTTCAGTGTGCAACAAAATGGCCTGAAACTGGCCATTTTTCAAAGAAAAAAAATATCTTGATAAGTATTTTGAAATATAAAGATAAAACCCCACCGCACTCATTATATATGTTATGTATGTGTCATAAATTTTTTATGCAAATGAGAGACTATTTAGCAAAAGGCCTGTCTCTGTTTGAGATGGAATGACTTAATAGCAATATCTGTTTTATAAGAGCAAAAAGAAATCTATTAATGTTGTTCAGTCAGCATGTGTCTTTTACCAGGTCGTTGAAACCCGCTGTAAGAAAGTTTGCACTTCGAAGTCTGACCTTCGCTCCAGTGACTTCAGCATCGTGGGATCTTTACCTCGAGACTTTGAACTTTCTAACTTTGACTGTTATGGTAAACCAGTTGAAGTTACAGGGGCCCTCAAATCCCAAAACAAAGCCAACAAGAAACCACCACCACCTAAACCTGTCATACCGGCAGCTGCTAAGCGCATTGATCTTTATGCAAGAGCCCTTTTTCCCTTCTCTTTCCTCTTCTTCAATGTTGTCTACTGGTCAATCTATCTGTAAGAGGAAGAAGAAGAAAGTGATTTGTATCTTGGGTACAGAGCGGACAGTGCTGACATTAAAAGTACACTTTTCTTTGATAAATCATATAGTAAATTTATATTTAGGTCATTCCATTAAAAAAAAATCTGTTTAATCAGATAAAAGTTCCCACCTTACTCTGTCAGAAACAGCTTTCATGTACAATATTTTTAGTATTTTCAAGGAAGCAATGAATAATATTACCTTCATCCTGTCAATATTTTCCAAGGTACATGGATGCTTGAAATTTCATTTGTAAGTGTCAACTCAACCTATGGGTTAGATATCGGGTTAAAGCAAGTTATATCATGGAAGGTCTCCTTTTTACCTACATTTTCAACCTGTTCACATCTGCTATACAGGTATACAACACAAAAACTGGTGGGTTGTTTGTTTGTTTGTTTTTTTTAACAATGGATATGTGCCATAAAACAAGCTATTGCAGAAATCCACCATATGTGATGAAATTAGAAATGACTGCAACTAGAACATGTTTCCAACAAACTAACAGTAATCTCTGAGCAGTCTTACTCGTTCAGCAGTGTTGATGCTCCAAGGAAACCATGCCTATCACAGCTTTATTCCAGTCGATCAAAACAGACTGGAAACTGTCAGTTTGTCTGGTGTCAAAAATACAACCATTATGAAGGCTGGATTTATTATTGCCAGAAGTTCCTACACAAGATTGCACGTCGTTGCTAACTAACAACTCTTTTTTTCTGTTTAGAGCCATGTTTGCAAAGCTGCAAAAACCAGTGTGGTTCCCGGGTATAACTGCAAATTTTCACAAATATAAAACTTAGCGTCCTATTGCTTGAGTTCCCTTAAAGCCTGTATATTAAGTAGGCACTGCATGTTTGTCTTTGTGTAATACAGGACATTGTGCTAGTTATAACCTAAATTATGCAGTTTAAAATATAACTGTATCCTGTGCATTAGAAATAAATGCTTTTTATTGAGGGTAACATTACTGGTCACACTTCATGCTAAAGGTATAGTATTCTAGAGTGGCCAATGTGGATGAGAATCGAGAAAAAGAAGGTTCTCTACAAGAACCGGTTCCTAGTAGTCCAATTCCTTGGAATTGTTAGTCTGCCTGCCTGTCAATCCCGCTTATCAGTTCTGGCATGTATTCTACAATTAGCTGATTTCAGTTATGGAGGAGCAAATTGTAGGGCAGTTTCCAGCGTGGATACGAACATAATTTTTATTTTTATTGCAAAAAAAGGAAGTGCAAACTGCATCCAGGACAGAACAGGTTGTTGCTAATATAACAGCATGCAAATGCTAAGCTATCCAAGATCCCAGAGCGATGCTAAGCTGAGTGAATGCTGATCCCAGCCCATGGCTGAGCCATCACTTGTGAGCTGCCGTGAAGCCAGCTGCCACTGAACTTCATCCAGTAACAAACAGATGAGCAGTTAGGCTGCAGGCTTCGTTTCTACCTGTTTTTATTTATATATTTATATTTATTTATATATTTATATAGCCCAAAATCACAACAATCTGTTCATGTTTCTGAAGTAGAATCAACATGGAGATCACTTAAAAGTCTCTTTGTGCTTGTTTTCATTTTTTTTGTGCTGTAGGCTTTGTGTTCATACCTAAATACTAAGAGAAATATTATATGTGTCCTCATTAGGGCAGGGATTTGTGTTGATGTGTGGGACTGTAAATTCAGGTTTATATTGGCAAATGGTAATTATGAGACAATATGTTTTCGTTCATTTGACCGAGAAATGCAGTTATAATGTAACAAATAGTGTAACAAAGTACTTCCTCCTCCTTTTGAGTAATGACCCCTGATCGTAACAAAGAGTGGAAATACCTCCAACATCCACAAATATTTGACCCACCGGATGTAATTAATTTGCATGAAAGTAATGTCTTTGACATGGTGCTTAGAGATGTTGGTGACTCTGAAAATGAGAATGGATACGGGAATCGAATCGATAAGTGAAATCAATCATGAAATCCCATCCCTAGTGGCGAATAATAAATAAAATAAATTCCATGATGAAAATATAATCCAAAGGGAATAAAAAATGTAAAAATATTCTTCTGCAATTTCCCTGTTGTTTCAAGTTTGACAGTAGAAGCATGATTAAATTTATTTATATTATAACAGTCTTAATTTAGACATTTTATTGGCACCATATTGAAAAAAAAGAAACATTTTAATGTTTTTAATTAGATGCCGTGTTTTCATATTAAGGTAAAAAAAATCCAAGTCATATTAGATTCACGGCCTTTTTTTCATCACTGCGTCAGCGCAACAGAGCCAGACTGGAAGGCTGACACTTGTTACTAAGACTAATCTTTTTAGTGGTTGTGATTGTGGAAGTCCTGTGATCCTTGTGCTTTTAGATCTTACTGCAGCGTTTGATACTCTTGACCACAATATTCTTACCTCTCGTTTGGAACACCTGGTTGGCACCAAAGGTGCAGCACTGGATTGGCTTCGTTCATATTTGAGTGGCAGAACGTTTAGTGTTAAAGTTGAAAATTTGGAGTCCACCTCAGCCCCCCTTCCTTGTAGGGTGCCTCAGGGCTCAATCCTTGGCCCTCTTCTTTTTTCATTATACCTGGTCCCTTTGGGGTCTATTTTTAGAAAACACAAAATATCCTTTCACTGCTAGGCAGGCAACAGCCAAATTTATTTGCCTTTAGCACCAAATGGCCCAGGCTCCATCCAAATCCTTTTGAACGGCCTTGAAGATGTCAAAGCTTGGATGGCTCTGAACTTTTTGAATTGCAATGAGAGTAAAACGGAGGTGATTGTATTTAGACCTAATAATATTTCATGCAACCCGCTTAGAAATTGTGGTTGGCTAGGGTCTTATATCAAACAGCATGTGACAAATTTGGGAGTCATTATGGACTCAGATTTTAAATTGAACAAACATATTAGTTCTGTGTTGCAACAAAGCTTTTTCCAGTTGAGGCAAATAGCAAAGCTGAAGCCAGTTTTGTCAAAATGTGACATGGAGAAGGTAATACATGCCTTTATTTCAACATGGCTTGACTACTGTAATGCACTTTATGTTGGAGTCAGCCAAGGGTCTCTTGCACGTCTTCAGCTCATTCAAAATGCTGCTGCCCGCCTCTTGACTGGTACCCACAGGCATGAACATGTAATACCTATCCTGTCCTCTCTTCATTGACTTCCTGTTCATGACAGATTACTTTCAAAGTCCTAACGCTGGTTTATAAATGCCTTAATGGTCTTGCTCCCCCATACCTTTCCAAGTTGCTTCAGCCTTATATTCCTTCGCAGACCCTTAGATCAGCTGACCAGCTGCTGTTGGTTGTCCCAAAATCTAGGCTAAAACATAGAGGAAAACGAGCCTTTTCAATTATGGTCCCCAAGCTTTGGAATACGCTCCCTTTAAATATTAGACAGGCATCTTCGTTTCCTGTTTTTAAGTTGCTTTTGAAAACACACCTTTTTTCGATATTATGTGTATTATTATGTTTTTATGTGAGTGTCAGTGGTTTTATCTTGTGTTTTACCCTTTTGTTTCTGTTCAGCACTTTGGGCAAACCTTTCGTTTTTAAATGTGCTATATAAACAAATTGGATTTGGATTAAAATACACTGCTCAAAAGAACACGTTTTAATCAGAGTATAGCATCAAGTCACTTAAACTTCTGGGAAATGGATCTGGTCATTTAAATAGCAGCAAGGGTTTTTAATCACTATCATCTGCTTTGGTATTTATGAAAGTGAACCTGTTACCTAAAATTCCATTACCTTACATAAAATTTAACTTGGTACTGGGTACAGGGGGTAATCTACTAGTCGGACGATTGGTGTTTCGATTCCTGGCTGCACCATGTGTATGCCAAAGTGAGGAAGAAGAAACACTTCTATCATGGGAAGCTCCCAGCAGCCCAGGGCTATTGCAGTAAAACTAAGTGAGGATCAGAGTCACCTGATTCAGCCTTAACTATATGCTATATGGTAGAGAGGGTGTCTTTCTCCCAAATCCGAACTGGAAGCTGGTTCCACAGAAAAGGGGCCTGGAAAGTGAAAGGCACTGTCTCCCATTTTACTACCCTAGTAGTCAAAGGTAAACTAGCAGTCTGAAAACAAATGCTCTATTGTGGAGCCTGGGTCCTCAAGACCTTGTATGTGAGGAGCAGGATTGTGAATTCAATTTGGGATTTAACAGGGAGCCAATGAAGAGAAGCCAATGTAGTCCCTGTCAGGACTCTTGCTGCAGCACTTTGGATTAACTGAAGGCTTTTCAGGGAGTTTTCAGGACATCCTGATAGTAATGAATTACAGTAGTCCAGCCTAGAAGTAATAAATGCATGAGCTAGCTTTTGAGCGTGACTCTAAGACAGAATCTTTCTAATTTCAGAGAGATTGCCCAATTCGAAGAAAGCAGTCCTACAAATGTTTTTAATATGTGCATTGAAGGACATATCCTGGTCAAAAACGACTCCAGTATTCCTCACAGTGTTAATGGTAGGTCCACTACTAGTGCCCTGTAATTTAATGCCATCCATAGCAAGAATCTGGTTAGATACCATATTTCTAACATTCTTTTAGGCCACAGTAGAGTAAAAGAAAATTAGAGGTCATCCAGGTCTTTACTTTTATAAGAAATTCCTGCAATCTAATTGGTGTGTGCTATCTAACTTACTACTACGGATACTGCCAAAGGCAAGCATGGATAATGTAAACAGAATTGGTGTTAGTACACAAAGTGTGGCATCCATAACTAACGACTCTCCATTTACATAAACAAATTGGAGTCTGTTAGATAGATATGATCCAAATCCCTGCAGTACAGAACTTTTAATATCTTTAGCATGCTCTAATTGCTGTAATAAAATATTATGGTGAACAGTATCAAACACTGCACTGAGGTCTAGCAGGACAAGCACTGAGATGAGTCCACTGTCAGAGGCCATAAGAAGATCATTTGTAACCTTCACTAAAGCTGTTTCTGTGCTGTGATGAGCTCTGAAACCTGACTGAAACTCTTCAAATAAACCATTCCTCTGCAGATGATCTTGTTAAATGTTTTACAACTACTCTTTGAAGAATCTCATTAGGAACTGTCAGGAATGACAAGCGTGTGGGGCCTATATTGACTACTGAGTACCATGTTGAGTGGAAGGAACTAAATTCTGTCAAAATGAACTAGCCAGCACCATAATTTTTTTACTTCGATTTTCGGGGTGCGTTTGAATCCATATTTAGATCTGATGCATTTTCAAAGTGGTGCTTTAATTTTTTGCACAGTGTAACTATTAACTATTTGTTCTAGTGTGATCTTTTTGATACCTACATCTCACTAGAGACTTGACATTTAGGCTTATTGTCCCGTGTGCAATCCTATTACAAAACAAGGAACAATTGCTGCTGCTGAATATTTCTCTGTTATTTTTAATACACACATACATATATTGTGTTCTTTTTTTTCTTAATTTGAAAAACCGTATGCAAAATGCAAGGAGTTAATGTTACATAGCATAACATTACAGAAAAACTACTCCAAAGTTTAATTTAACAATTATTAGTTCTTATGACACCTTGCTTTTTATGAATAACTTCATGCTATCTGTACTTTGTAACATAAAGTGTAATCAGCTCAGTCAGTAACATTCCAGTATGTAAAGATATAATCATACAAAAGGAAGAAACTCTTCACTTAAATGCCAAATAGAAAACTGTGGAGATGTGATTTAAATGAATGGGCAAGAACAGGAAAAGAATCAGAAATATTTCCATGTGGCTCTGACTCTGAATCAAATACATATATAGTAGACTGATGGCATTATGCAATATGTCAAATTTCACTAAAGATCGATGATATATCTTTTTGCTGGAGTGTTCTAACTAACTGCTAGAGTACTTTGACGTTAGATTGCACAGTTTTAAGTACCAGCTAAGCTTGACTGCCAGTTGCTAAATTGTTTGCTATGCCCTTTCTTAAAATATATATTGCCATGATATATATTTCAGAAGTACTGTCTTCCCAGCACTGCAAAGAACTTGAATCATTTTTGTGGAAGTGAATAAAAATTTCTTTTCCCCAAGAAGAGATGTGCTGTATTTGTTTTTTGCTTGTTTTTTGTTTGTTTGTTTTATTTATTTTTAAACACAAACAAAATGAACACAACGTGAAGCAGTTCACATTCTCAAAGAAAATGTACCCATGGTAACAATGGCAATAAATTCAAGAAGACAGCAAAACCATTTAGGTCCCCTAAGCCTTTTCAGCATCTTTTGTTTGCCCTTCAGTATTTTTAGTATAAGATCTGAAATTGAGCTCTCTTTACCTTATTTCTCTTTAATCTGTAGCATTTGGACTTTAGAGTGTTTTTGGTATTAGAAAACTGAGGTTAAGTAATATTTTTATTGTTAAAACAAAGCCAAATCCAAAACACTTCAGGCAGTGTGTAAAATGTAAACCACAGAATGCAGTTTAAACTGAGGAACTGGTCCATTTTAATAAAAAATAGAGCTGCTAATCAGTCCTGGGTCTTCTTTGTCATGTTTTTTGGCTCATGATGGGCCAGATGTTTTCAGCTGCCAACAGGTCTGGAAGTAGGCAAACCAGTCCAACAACTTTTCTAATATGAAACCTTAGTGTTTTAGTGGATGCAGTATAGCGTTTAGCATTATCTTGCTGAATATCATGTATATGAATTATACATCTGAAAAAGGTGTAATCTGGATGGGCGCATATGTTATTCTAAAACTGTATATGGATTTTAGGATTGGTGGAGCCACCTACTCCCTTCTCTCAAAATAGATTACAATGTCATCTGCAAACACTATAATCCTATATTATATCCTATATTCCTGCCCAACCACATCTGTCAGGCTTTCCATCAGCAGTGCAAACATAAAGGAGCTCAGAGCAGATCACTGATGTTGTCCCACCCCCACATTGAACCCATCTGTAATTTCTCCCTCACACCTAAACACTGACTTTTTCTTTTCTTGGTACCCTAATATGTGCTTTCTCTAGACCCACAAAAATACAATGAAGCTCCTTCTGACCTTCTCTATACTTCTGCATCAACACTTTGACAGCAAACATTGCATCTGATCAGTGAGGAGCAATATAATGCCTACTGCAGCTCACTGATCATAACCTTTCTTCTTAACCCAGCTTTAACAGCTAGGTTTAAAAGTATGCTTCTTCTCCATTCTACATCCCAAATGTGTTCTGTTGGTCTGAGGTCAGGACTTCGTGCCAGTCAAATTCATTCACACCAAATCTGCTCATCCATGTCTTTATGGACCTTGCAGGTCCATGTTTGAACAGGAAGGGGCTATCTTCAAACATTTTCTGCAAAGTTGGGAGAATGAAGTTGTCCAAAATGTCTTGGTTAGAGATACTGGCCTAAATTACTGGATTGGATATCGGAGAGAAATAAAAAATGTAATCTGATCCATTAAATGTCACGAAAGCACCTCACAAAACTTGTGACATGGCGTAACTCGGCTCATAACCTTAGCACGTTGGAGCAGTATGGATCACGTGATAGAGCGGCTGTGGCGTGTGAGACCTGTCAGCGGTCTGGTTGAGCATTTGGAGCCTCGCTACCAACCCGGCATTTCATCTCCGACAAAGTTATCCCCGAGAGAAGTAAAGCAAGTGTGTAAGTTCATCTCTGAATGTTTGTAAAGTATTCCCACGTCAAGCTTAACAACCGATATATGGAGCGACTGCTTCTTCTCTCTCCCTCCCTCTCCTGCTGCTACTTCAATCATGAAACTGATTAATTATCAGCTGATCTGCTTTTCTGTCGCGACTCCATCTCTCTTGTTTGTTTATCGCCCACTTTGCACCAGAAAGAGGAAACCAGCGGATAAACAACAGCAGCATCTTTAACCTTGATAAGCTGTTGTTAGAATTTATTTAATATTACTTTCTACAGGGAGTGCAGAATTATTTGGCAAATGAGTATTTTGTCCACATCAACCTCTTCATGCATGTTGTCTTACTCCAAGCTGTATAGGCTCGAAAGCCTACTACCAATTAAGCATATTAGGTGATGTGCATCTCTGTAATGAGAAGGGGTGTGGTCTAATGACATCAACACCCTATATCAGGTGTGCATAATTATTAGGCAACGTCCTTTCCTTTGGCAAAATGGGTCAAAAGAAGGACTTGACAGGCTCAGAAAAGTCAAAAATAGTGAGATAGTCAACAGGGTCGCAAGAAGCGTGTGGAAAAACCAAGGCGCAAAATAACTGCCCATGAACTGAGAAAAGTCAAGCGTGCAGCTGCCAAGATGCCACTTGCCACCAGTTTGGCCATATTTCAGAGCTGCAACATCACTGGAGTGCCCAAAAGCACAAGGTGTGCAATACTCAGAGACATGGCCAAGGTAAGAAAGGCTGAAAGACGACCACCACTGAACAAGACACACAAGCTGAAACGTCAAGACTGGGCCAAGAAATATCTCAAGACTGGTTTTTCTAAGGTTTTATGGACTGATGAAATGAGAGTGAGTCTTGATGGGCCAGATGGATGGGCCCGTGGCTGGATTGGTAAAGGGCAGAGAGCTCCAGTCCGACTCAGACGCCAGCAAGGTGGAGGTGGAGTACTGGTTTGGGCTGGTATCATCAAAGATGAGCTTGTGGGGCCTTTTCGGGTTGAGGATGGAGTCAAGCTCAACTCCCAGTCCTACTGCCAGTTTCTGGAAGACACCTTCTTCAAGCAGTGATACAGGAAGAAGTCTGCATCCTTCAAGAAAAACATGATTTTCATGCAGGACAATGCTCCATCACACGCGTCCAAGTACTCCACAGCGTGGCTGGCAAGAAAGGGTATAAAAGAAGAAAAACTAGTGACATGACCTCCTTGTTCACCTGATCTGAACCCCATTGAGAACCTGTGGTCCATCATCAAATGTGAGATTTACAAGGAGGGAAAACAGTACACCTCTCTGAACAGTGTCTGGGAGGCTGTGGTTGCTGCTGCACGCAATGTTGATGGTGAACAGATCAAAACACTGACAGAATCCATGGATGGCAGGCTTTTGAGTGTCCTTGCAAAGAAAGGTGGCTATATTGGTCGCTGGTTTGTTTTTGTTTTGTTTTTGAATGTCAGAAATGTATATTTGTGAATGTGGAGATGTTATATTGGTTTCACTGGTAAAAATAAATAATTGTAATGGGTATATATTTGTTTTTTGTTAAGTTGCCTAATAATTCTGC